ATATATGAAATATTACAGTCTACATTAAATAAATACAGACAAAATACATTAAATGCAAAAAGACCATCTCATGCAACTTCTACTTTAACCCCATCTTTTGATGCCAGACCAAAATACATTATAAATTTACCAAATTCATTTTGTGATGATGATGAAGCTAAAAGTAAAAAATAATAATTATGCCAAAAACTTTCATAATTTACCACACAAATAATGTTTTAATGAAAAAAGTAGGAAATAATTCATATTTATTAAAAACTGGATCATTGGATAATGCAATTCAAGACTTTTTATTGGCTTAGCCATTATGGTATATGAGCCAATATACCATAATCTAATATCTGTACATTGTAACATTCGGTTTCTTCTTACAAAATAAAGTCGAGAAGATTTGTCTAATATCTTGGGGGCGTTTTTTTAATAAAACAATTATTCCACTCGTGCTTGTTAGATATGAAATGATTATAGCCAACTCGGCGCTACGCGCCTCGTTGGATATCTATCATCTCATATCCAACGCGCGCTCGTGGAATAATCGTTAAATATTTTACTGTAATTCAAGGCCACATTAGTGTTTTTATTGTTTTAATCCTCGAAGGTTCTCTGTAATTCAAGCAATTCCTTCTTTTTATTTCATTCAAGTTGTTAATTATTAAATAAGGTATTCATGGGACACTGTTACCAATGACCAGCAACGATTGTGTCGTTCCATAGCATGAAGTGACTCTACTATCACTACCACTCCCAGATGGGATGCCAGTTCATGATATATGTATTTATCATGGGTTACGTAACCCTTTCTTTGGGGTGTCGCATGGTATGTTGTCACATTGCTTCATTAGCGGTAGGCTATATATATTCGAGCTGTTGTCATTTCTATTCATTCGCGTCCTATGACCGTCCCTACGTCCTCAAAATTAAATACCCAGTGACTAGGGATTGTCAGTTTTCCTTAGAAGTAGTTTTTGCATATACGAACATTGTTTAGATTGTTTTGTAGGGGTAGTTTTTCTTGCTTTAATTTTTAAACTTTCCGAGTTTTCATTCTGTTGATATACCATTCCTATAAATTTTGTAGATGAAGGCATGATAAAGAAGTTCGCATACGGCTCGGGATGACACATCCGAATATGGTTACTTATTGAATGATAAATGCTTGATATTCGTTTAAGCGGGATAGCGAATTAGAATATCTAGTAGATCTGGCTTCCAACGCTTTCAATAAACCGAAACTTTTCAGCATCGGTAAACGAGGCAATGACTCTGTACACGGTGCCGATATCGAACGGTGAACAACCTTCCTTTCGACAACGGGCTGGCGCTCCCTTGAAATTAGCGACGCCATAACACGTCACTCAGATTGAGTAGTTCACGACCAATGCACGGTAATCGCAGCAGCCGATGAGAAGAGACTTTGACTGGTGCACAGTTGTGCTCAGTCAATCAAAGAGCGTTTTGACTAGTGCACAAGAAACAACAGAAAATTTGAACTAGTGCTCATATTGAGCATTGATCTACAGAGGGGGAGGGGGAGGGTGAGGATTGGGCTCGGTGAAACTCAAGGCGGTGGTCCACTGGAGGCCGGCAAGAGATGAAGCGCAGTTAGAATTAACAAATTCTGTATTATGATTAAACACCTGAGACGAATTGGCATCTTCTGGCATGGTTTTCTCAAGAAACTAGCAGCATTAGTCTGTATCCAGCCCTGCCACAGATGGCACCAACACAAAAGACAACAAAACTTGCAACTGCCGACATTAGAACACGTCCCCACTTAACGAAAAACATCAGTAATCAACCAAGCCACCGTCACACTAAAGGACAACAGCACCACTGAAAAATACACCGCATCATTGCGACACATTAAACACAGAAACTCTACTGAACTCAGCAAATATATCTGGACTCTTAAAGAAATAAACCTTGACTACTTTATTTCATGGCGCATCCTTTCATAAAGATCACCCCACAAAAGTGCAAGTAAAAGATGCAACCTCTGTCTAAAATAAAAACTACTTATCATCTGCAGACCTGAATTATCATCACACTGAATCTTTTTCTTTACTGAATGGATGGCCCTTGGGGTATTAGGTTGTGCTTTTTTGTGGAACTTGGTGATTTTTTCTTCTGGCCATACTTTTTCTCTACAAAGAATGTCTTCCTTACCTAACAGCCTATCACCTTCTACTTTGCTCAAGCCAAACCGTGTTTTATGTTTTCTGGAAAGAGAAAAAGATTTTTTCGACTGCAGATCATAGTAAGATCTGCCTCCAATGATGATCGTTCATCTCTGCCAGTGCATTGTTGTTATGGCGGACATCCGCCAGAGATGTTAAAGTGAGAGCTGTCGCACCAAAGAATCCTCTGACCCAAATCCTTATGCTGATGCGCGATTGACAGAAAATTGAAAGATGTCAAAACAATGAGTATGCTAAACAATACCTTGTCTTAAAGTGCAACAGATTTTGACGTTATACTTGCGTGGAACCAACTTACAAAATTCTGATATTAAATTCCTTTACCAATACGTCCGACAAATTGCGGGCTCGGAAGGACATATTTTTTACTACCAGAGTTTTACGCGTATTCCTAAATTTATATTCGATGACCTACAGGGAAAGATATCTACCGACCATTTTATATGTTATCGCGTATATTTATCACAACTAATTACTATTATCATTATTATATCATTATTATTATTATTAGAACTTTTAACATTCTTCACATTACTATTATTACTTTCTTTTTTATCTTCTTCCTCTTGAAAGTTCCAGAACTAAACGTCAAAGAATTGTATCTCCGTTATTTTTTTTAGATCTTTATCAAACATGTTTATGTGTTTTTCGATTTTTTAAGGATTTTATCATAATTTTTGTAAATATTTTTAGTGATTATAATTAATAAAGGTTTAATTTTTAAAAAATTATTTTTTATCATTATTATCATTGTTATTATTATTATAAACTCGCAATAAACTCGGTAACCATGACGAAACTGTTACTCTCACATAACTGTACCTGCACTGCGAACGGTGAAGATATCTGGTATTTCACTGATTTGCTAAAAATACCGAAATATCGTTATGTTACCTTGATGACTGGTCCAGCCATGGCCAGTGCTCTTTTGGTACGATTTCTTCCCCTGTTTTGGCCTGTCATCAATTGTCTCCAACTTCGTTTGGCGTCTACTGTCTTCTCCTGCGTCCTTCTCTATCTCCATGACCACTAGCGCGGAAACTCTTCAGAAATATGAGAAAAAAAAAAGACCCTTTAAAGGTACCATGTATTGCTCCAACAAGGCTTGACTTACGCTTTTACTTTCACTCGTTTTCAATTCTTCGAATAAAACAAAAATCGAATCAAAATAGACAATTTCTCCAACCTTACAGTCACTTGTGGTTTTGATACACTCATATCTGATCAAAGACCTTCAAGACCAGCAACTAGCTCGATTTCATAACATATAATTAGGATAGAAGCTATGATATTTTTTCAGCACTACTTTCCCTGGTTATGTTCACTAAGACAGGAAAAGCCGCAAATAGTGAAAGACTTGAATATAGGTATACTTGTGATGCTCTCCTAAGTTTGCCTCAAAGGTCTATTTTCCTTTTTCATACTCTTCCTCGGAAATAAAGGTTCTCAGGTCCACCTCAGTGAGACCAAGCTTTTCCAAAACTTGTGGCGTTATTGTGTCTGCTCATTTTTATGTCCAGTCTGAAGCGTAATCAGTATTTCTGATGATAAAAATTAATACAATAATAATAGATCTTTTACTCAAGAAGACAACTGACACCTGAGCTTCAACGCTAGCCGAGTTAGAGAAAATTCTTAATTCTTAACGCCCTAAAAAGCTGTATCCACAAAAAAAGAAAACGAAAAAAAAATAACTTGAACTATGAAACAATCACCTGAAAAACACGTTCAAGATTCAAACTCATACTTCATTATTAGTCTCATTGTTAATCCTTTTACAGCCCCTTTTGATATTGAAAAGTTTTCACCATCTCTGTGAGTTTTTCTACTTCAGCTTTTAGATCCCTGTCATTTTGGTACCACATGTTAAGTTCTTGGTTTTTTTGTTTTTCTTCTGGCGTTAGAGGATTGTGAAGGAGATCATCGATGGACTTCTTCCACTCATCTCTCTTCACAGCACTGATGTTTGCTGCGATTCGCAACAAAACCTCACTTATACTATTCCAAAGGCGAACAAACTCAGTGGGAGATATTTCCTTAGTTGGACAGTGACGATGACTTCATTTCGATAATATTTTATTCGTACTAAATCTGCTTCCAGGCTGTGATATGTATTTCGGTAATCCGTCCCATCCGTCAGGGGGTGGGGTCAGGTTACAAATTTTCCTTAATAACTTGAAGATTGATGTGATGTCAAAATTCTTTGACTTGCCATACAGTCCCGTGGATGGATACGGACAGTCCCACTCTGGTTTGGAGAGTTTCGCTCTTCGCAGCTCTGTCTGTACAACAGGATCACTTAGCTTCAAAGGCAGATAGGCTGGTGAGTAAGTGGAATCAAACGTCTCCCGTAAAAGCTTTACACCGCCACACATCGATAGTCGTGTCAGCCGATGATAATTTGCTTTGGCATTTGTTGATTTTAAGGCTTCTTCAGCGTCGTCAAGGGACGCCATGTAATGGAGATTTTCTATAATAAAAGGAAACTGGGCTTGAAATTCGATGGTGGACTACGATTAACTCGGTACTACAGACTGCAATCTTATGGCTAAACCTCTGTTTTTCTATTAGTTTTCGAATGAATAGTATTTCGTTTAGTAGCTGCAAAGAGTAGTTTCCGACTATTTTGTTTGTTTCTATTGGCTGCGAGGCAAAAAGAGCATGAAAAAGTGAACTACAAAATTTGCATTTTAATTTGATATTTTAGCCGCCTGATCGAATATCGTATAGTTCGATAGTATCATTTACAGAGTGGTGTAATCGCAGAAACTTGGCTTTCGTATGTTGAAAAGCTACTTCAGCCCTTTTTAATTTATGGTAGAACTACACTCGTGTAGGAATGAGCAGTTTTTGGTTTCGTACCTGATAATGTCATTATTTTTGAACAGCTAAAGTAAATGACATGATGCAAGCTTGTTGGCTCTGTGAAATCGAGAGGATGATTTTACATGGGAGTGATGATACACGCTTTCTCTACAGGTAAGCTGCGCTATTCACGAGGGCTTTTTTATCTTTTTAATTTGTATCATTACAATACAATACCTTACAAAATTTATTGTCAACTCCCCATGGGGACCTTTCAGAGACAAATATTACTAATACCGAAAATCATGAAAAAATACTCAAAATTGTCAATAAACAATTATTAAGAAACTATTTGCATATAAAATTTATAACATTAAGAATTAGTTTAAGATAATTAAAAAAAACTCAAAAATTATTAAGAAACTATTTGCACATAAGATTTATGACGTTAAAAATTGATTTAAAAGGAAGGCTTTCATTTTACGTTTGAAAATGATAAGGGATTCACTCAATTTAAAATGCTGTTTTAAAGCATTCCACCATGTCACAGTTCTGTAAGTAAAAGATCTCTGTCCTGGCTTGGTTTTAAAAAGCGTATATTAAGCTGGGAAGGTGATCTGGTCGTCCAGCCGCTGATATTCCCTCATGAATATCAGCGGTTGAACTGAGGTAGTTTGGAACTTGACCTGTCGTAGATTTTAAGGCCAAGATGGCGTCTTTTAGATACATGTGGGACTTAACTGGTATCCATCTCAGGTTTTTCAGGGCTGGAGATACGTGATCAATATTCTATTCCTACGTGATCATATTCTTATTCATATAACCTACAGGGTCCTACGGCACCCTATACTTGTCAAAACCGTGGGTTATGGAACCCAAATGATTCATTTATTGTAAAAATAATCGGTGTTTGTATCAGCCAATATCGTTCAAATAATGACATGGGCAATGCTTATCGTCTACTGTAAAGCTTTATTAGGTGTAAACAAGTAAATTGCTTAACCGAATCAACTCCCTGGTGTGTTTGCGTGAATAAGCGAGATGAAATGGCCTAAAGATGTGGCTAGAACAAGGCTTGGAGGCAACCAGTTCGTTCACGAGCAACTATATGAAACTTCATTCTTAGATTTATAAGCGAAAAAAAAGTCAAACCATCGGAGTTTAGGATGGACGGTTTGCAGGGAATCCCCCAGCCACTATTCAAAATGCCATTTCAACGTTTTAATCCTTAAGAGCGTGTCTACGAGAAAACCGGGCAGGGGGCGATAAACCTCAAATCACCGATTTGGCTCAAACTTGGCACAAATGCTAAGTAGCATGAGTTAACAAATGTGTGAAAATAATAGGTCAAAATATTTAAATCCCTGGGAGATATAGGGTCACCCTGGGAAAACCCCACTTCCTTCATTTGTTGTATAATTAATCAGCTAACTTTGCATTGCTGCTGTGATAAACTGAAAACCCATCTGCAAATATCTTATATCTATCAGACTTGTAGAGAACTGAATTGTTTTAACTTTTTCATTCCATTTCTTCCCTTACCTCTCTTAAGTAAAGACGACTTTCTCAACTTACCACATACCTTCTCAAACGATGTTACAGCCATAAATTCGTCACCAAACAAATACGACGCGCCGTTGACATCCCCCGCACACTCACCTTACAAACCAAAGACGTAAAAAGACCTAACCGTATTCCATTTATAGCTACTTTTAATCCGTCGCTTCCTCACATCTCCAACATTATCAAAAAAACACTGGCATTTGCTGCTGTCTTCTAACCGCGGCAAAAAAGCTTTTCGTCAGCTGCCAGTTATTGCCTTTAGACGCTCCCCCAACCTTCGCGACACATGAGTTACAGCCAAACTCTCCTCCAGTTCTACCTTCCCATCCTCAACTCCCCCCCGGCTCTTTCCGTTGTGGTAGTAACTGCGCTACTTGTCCCTACATCTCTGACGGACTTACTATACCTTTTTTCCTACCGGCGAGACACGTACTATTGAATCTCACTTGACTCGGGACCGGCTAAAAACCTTGTCTACTTGATTCAATGTAATCGCTGTAACTTACAATACATAGGAGAAACTAAACGACGTTTAAAAGACCGTTTTAATTAACACCGCCGTACCATTGATAAACCTAACTCTAAATCTAAACCTACTACAGTCGCAGAACACTTCCTTTCCCCTCCCAACCACTCTGCTTACGATATGGAGCTTATCGCCATCGAAAAAGTGTTTTCCAAGAGAGACTCGGCAATACTATTTATCCCGATGGCCTTAACGCTCGCGAAGAAATGTATTAGTGTTTTTCCTTCTACTATTCCTACTTCTAGTTATTTAATTTATTCAATTTACCTCACTTTACTTCTATTTTTATTTACTATTTCTATTTTTAATTATTATCTCATTGTCAATCAAATTAGTTTTGCGTATTTCCGCAATTACATCATACAGCTATCCACTGCACCTGAAGAAGGCTGGTTTGGCCAGCCGAAATATAGTGCTCCGTTGTAAAACTTATCTACGTCGTATCGGTCTTGCCTCTATATTTATATTCGTTATTTTGAACCGATTAGATCACTGCTGATCCAAAGTACAAGAGTAGGATTATCGTTCACGGTTGCTTGCTGAACATTTCACAAAAATAAGGGTATTTTAAGGCCCAATATCTCCGATGACCAACCACTTCTTATAATTATTCCTATCTGGGCAGTGAAAGCCATCACTGGACTTCCAAAATCAGCAATAAATTTTTTGGTCAATTTATTTCATAGCCCGTGCTGACGTGAAATTTACATCCACCTCCCGCTTTGTAGTCTATATCATCAAAATTCCGTACACCACATTTTTGTTTTATTCACTTAAAGAGAAAGTACGGTCTAGAAAAACTTTATCTCAATTAGAAGACTTTTTCCTCAGGAGTCCGAAAATAACTGCCATTTTGTCTAGTTTACTTTGTATTAGCGACAAGAGCGCTTCGAAATTGCCCATTTTTACAACTTCCGTGGTTAGAAAAACGCCATCTTGGATATTACGTCATTGTGACATAGCAATAGTCAAACTTAGTGCGGCACTTTGTCCTTGTTGACTAGTTTGACCTTTTGTGAAAAAAAATTTCTAATACTCCCAATAGTTGAAATGAGGTGAACTGTCCTGTTGCTGAATGTCAAAATACATACTAAAATTCAAAAGGAAAAGGTGTAAGCCTCTACAAGCTACCGGAAAGTGAAATATTAAAGAAAAGTTAGCCGGCAAA